AAGAGGGTTGGAAGAAATCGTCCATTAATTTTGACCATTAAACTAAAAAAAAAAAGAAAAGTCAAACATAAATCCCATATTTTCAACATGCATTTAAGAAGACGGTGGTTGATTTTAACTTCAGTCAACGCTCCCAAGTCCCAACTATTTTTCTATTTACTCTAATTCCTATTTTTATTTATTTTAAAATTAAGTATCCATTCTATTTTCAGTAATGGATTTTTTTTTTATTAACATGGATATTCAATCCGCTATGTGAACCGATTAATTCCAGGACGACCATCTGCTTTGCAGATAACTCAGAGTCACCACATTTGAACCTCCGTGGCCACAAGAAGATTTTTTATTCCTCCTTGGATTTGAACTTGGGACCTTCTGGTACTTTTGACCTTTGGAGCCAAGCTCAAACCAATCAAACACCGCTCTTGTAGTTTGGATCCATAATTTTTACTGATAAGTGGATCAAAAGCTCGTAAATTTATTCGACGTGTTTTAGCCGAATTCCATCGTTTTGAGGGATTTTCTTTCAGTTTTTTTGGTTGATTAATTTCGAGAGGCTTTTCGGTTTTTTGGTTGATGTTCCTTGCAATTTCTAATATCCCGAAGTACTGCTCAAATTTTAGCAGATGTACCTTTTATACTCTAAAAGTATTTATTTCCGAAATTCAATTGAACATGTGCATAGAACCCTGCTCAAACATGAATAGGTTCATCCTTGCCTATTTTATCCTCTGTTATGAGGTGGGGAAAAATTATTACTAAGGGTATAATTGTTCTTTAATTTATTAAAAAGGTTAATAATTATATATTATTAAAATTGTGTTTTTTTTTTATTATAAATAAAAGAATTATAATTTTGGAGTTTTGCTCGTTACTGTTTAAATCATAAAATAATTACAGAAAACAACGAAACTGAAGCTATTATAAAACATTGGTTAAGGTTGAAACTAGGTGTGTAAACGATACGAGACAGTTTGCAAACTACTCGAGATCGACTAAGTCAAAACTCGACTCGAACGGGCTCAACTCGAAAAGCTTGTGAGATACTCGATTTATATATATATATATATATATATAATTAGTTTTAAAATATAATCAGTTTTATGATATAATTTGTAAAATATAAAATGATAAAAAAAAGTCTTATATTTTTAGATATGTGAACAAAATTATGCATTTTTTAACTATAAAAAACTAAGTTTTAGGTGCATTTCTTTAGCTTTTTAAAATTTAAGAGAACATTTCTTTTAACATTTTTAGTTTATTAATTCTTATATGATGTAGTGGTTTTTTTTTGTATTAAATTAAATTCATTTTGGTTTTAGGTTTATTGAAAATGTTTGAGATTTAAACATATATGGTCTCTCACATATTTAATTTAAAACAACTTACATAAACGAAAAAAAAATTCACCGTTTCCCATTGGGGACAGGGATGTAATTATATTCCCCATTGGGGACGGGGATTGAGGTTCCTGCCCCATCCCCGTCTCATTCCCATGCCTAAATAAAGCAAACATTATTATTGAAATCTCCATCCAGATGGGCTCGAATGACTTAGGTCATGTGAGACACTGTTCTTATGTTTACTGTAAGATTTCAGACTTCTTTCGAATTTGTTTTTCTTTTTCCTATTTATCTGCTGACGAAATCCGTCAACTCTCATATCAGTGGCACATCGGTAAATCAATAAACTTCTATTGGCAGACTTGTACCAAGATAGGTGAATGTACCACTTCCTTTATTGTCTTGTTGATTTCTGTAAGGTACGGTTAAATTTAAGATAGCAAGGACAAGGGTAAGATTTGGAGAGTAGTGAAAAGAAGAGGGATGATAATTGTAAAATTAGAAGGAAATGTGGGGGAGAGAAGAAGTTAGAAGGAAATGTGAAATGTGGGCGCGTGAGGGATGACGTGTCAGTATACGGAAAGGGTAGCGTATGGAAAAAGGTGGTGCAGAATATTTATGGACAAGTGGCAGGCTTTTCATTCATGACCTCAGGAAATGCACCAATTGCTGTTGCATCACGCAATCAGTAATCCAAGCTCACTCTCATGCTTCTCCACACCCCCAACTCATATTTACCCCACAAGGGTTGAGTTTATGTAAGAACAAAGGTTTTTGACGAGACTCGTAAAATTAATTTATGTTTATTAATCAATTTTATAAATTAATAATTTAATGATATAAAGTTATATGGTGGTAATTTTGTAATTATTGAGAAGTCTTGTAACGATTATGAATGTTCAGATTGTCATATTATAGATCTAATTCAAGGGTTGAGAATTGGTCTTACAGACCAAGTCCCCCCAACAAATACTCATTTTTATAAATAAATTTATAATTTCTTTTTAAAGTTTTTTTTTAATTTTTAAGTAACTACTTAATCAATGAATAACACCGACTCTTACATAAATTCTATGTTTGACAAATTAGTTGATAAGCTAGTGAATAACTGATTAATTAACTGATAAATAAATCATGTTTGAAAAAAAAACCTAGCTGATAAATATATAAAATGACAAAAAATGACATCTAGAAAAATTAGTCAATTACAATATTTTATAATATAATTAAAATGAATAGTTAACAATATAATATGTTATTACAAATAAAATAGTAAAAAAATTAAAATGATATAATATATTAATTAAAAAGAATTTTAAATTGATTATTATATGTATTATAAATTTTGGATTTGTTAAAAAAAATTAGAAAAAAAAACCTTACTAATTAATTAGTAACTTTTAAAAACTATAATTAGTAATTAAATTACATATTTTATTAAAATCATATAACACAATTTTATTTTTTTATGAAACGAAATAAGTATAACTTTAATTTTGTTGTTGTTTATGTTAACATTATTAAAATTGTTATATTTGTTTTTTGATAACTAAAGATATTGGATAATAATTAAAAAATAATAATATAAAAATAATTGATATGATTAATAGTAATTCTAAATAATTAATATTAATGTATAATTAAAATTAATTAATAGTTTTAAGTAATATTAATTATTATTAATCAATATTGATTTAATATTAACAACACTTAATTTAATTAATTAATATTAATAGCAATTAATTTTAATCTTAATCTTTATTTATTAATAATTAAACTGAATATTGTACTTAAATTATTTAACATATTTTTATTATCAATGAAACAAAATAAGTATAACTTTAATTTTTATGTTACATAAACATTGTTAAAATTGTTATATTTGCGTTTTAGTAACTAAATATATTGAATAATGATTAAAAAATAATAATATAAAAATAATTGACGTGATTAATAATTAATGTAAATAATCAATAAATAAATGTATAATTAGTAATTAATTTTCAATTTGTATTAGTTAATAATAGTCATATTTAAATTTTATTAATATTTATTTATGATTAATAATAATAAACAACAATTAATATTAATGAGGTTATAATTGAAAAAGTAACAATAAACTATCAAAAAAAATAATCTTAGTTAGTCTAATAAAAATAATAAAAAATTACATAATTAATATGATTATCAGAATTAAAAAAAAACTGTTTATTTTTCTATTAAAATATATCTGTAATAAGAAATTTAAAAGTGCATATTAAATAAATCCTAACTTATCATAAATTAATAATTTTTTTATTAATTCATTAAGCTAATTAGAATAAAAAATTGTTCAAATACTCCATGACGTACTTTAACTTAAAACTTGTGTCTCATGTCACATTAACCATGTGGCATACCATAGCTTACTTTAAATTATTTATCATCATTTTTCCATTGAGTAACAATAGAAAACATATATTTATATGTAATGTTATATATGATATAGAGATTTAACGTCATAAGTCACGCCTTGAAAAACGCTATAACCTCACTGTAGCTCTTAAGGTTTGGCATCGCCCCCACACTACAGCTCATGCCATTTAAAACTTTAAAATAAAACAAATAGACTCTAAGAACATGTCAAATGCAAGGTTCTTATTAGAAAAAATGTAGCGATTTGTAAGAATTACCATCGTGGAGAGATATTTGACAAAATTCTTAAAAAGTCATTTTTTATGTATGAAGTATTGTTGATTGATGTACATTACTTAAAATTCAAGATTACAAGTAAATTGTACGTAAGTACAACTTATTAAAACTTCATATTTGAAWTYGTGTAACTAACTACAGATAAACATAATCAAATAGAGGATAAACATCTCATTTTAAATATATAAAATCTAAAATATAATTAGAATAATCATTGACTTCTAACAAAATACTTAATTATTATCAATATAAAAAACTATATTATTAAATCAAAAATAAATAAATAAATAAATTACAGAAGTGTACAAGAAAACAAGAAATTTTAAATAGTTAGTTTGATACTAATATCAATATATTTTTTTAATTTTTTATGAGATCTTCATATATATATATATATTATTAAAAAAATAAAAACATTATCGTTTTTTCAAAATCACATAAAACCGTATCATAATATCAACTGAAACAAATAAAGAAATAAAACAAAACATTAAAATTAAGATGTATATCGCTGCATTATACGATTACCCTTCTAATTATGTATGTGATAGAATAATTTTTCTGTTCGAATATACATTAAATAGTATATATATATTTTATTAGAAATTGTACGGTTTTGTATCATGTTATATTAAATATTTTAATATAATATTTGATTTAAAATCTAATTTAATTAAATAAAAAAAAATTAATAATGAGGTTTCAGGAATGGTCGGTTAAGTAAACCTTGGGTTAATGTTGAGTTTTTATTTTTGGAAATAAAAAGAAATGATTGATGCCATGTGGTCCTTCAGGAGCTCCTGCCTTTCATTTCCCATGTATATATACACCTACATTCAGACTACTGCACTATAAACTCCGGCCACCGCCATCGCCATCGCCATCGCCGCCGCCACCATATCCATCCATCTTCTTCACAATAATACTCTCTGTAAACAGAGTGAAGATTGATCGATCGTCGATATGGGGAACTGCCAAGCTATTGATAATGCAAGTCTGGTAATACAACACCCGAATGGAAGAGTTGAGAGGTTGTATTCCGCCATCTCTGCCGCCGAGGTCATGAAGCTCAACCCTGGTCACTACGTCGCTCTCCTCCTCACCACCACCTTATACTCTTCCCGCCCACCTTCCACCTCCGCCCCCACCAAACAAAACCACCCTGGTTCCGTCGCTAACACCACGCAGCCCCTCCGTGTTACTCGAATCAAACTCCTCCGCCCCACCGACACCCTCACCGTCGGCCATATTTATAGACTCATCACCACCAAAGGTCTGTTGTCAGTTTATCGTTTTCTAGATTTGGATTGATTAATTAATCACTCGGAAAAAAAATATTAAATTATTTAGTATTATTTTTATTTTACAGATGTGATGAAAGGATTAATGGCGAAGAAGAATGGGAAAATCAATATCAATAAACTGAAGCCATTAGAAGAGTCCGCCGGAAATCATGAAGCAAAAGTTACAGGATCTAATCATTCCGAAAGAACCCACCACCAGGTTTGAATCCTTATTAAATCCCCTTTTTCTGTTTCTATTTGTTCATGAAAATTTTGGATTAAAATGCTTACGAAATCAACTTGGTATATATGCAGATGAAGAAATCCGACAAAGATCGGCGGAGGACGGCGGTTCCGGCGAAGTCGTCGGCGGCTGCAAGAGGATGGCATCCATCATTAAACAGCATCTCAGAGGCATCAAGCTAGCTTTAGAAATTAGTAGCTAGCTCTGTTTATATTAACCCCTTTGATGAATTTTTAGTTTTTGATTTTGATTTTGAGTTCTGTAGGGTTCAAATTTATGGGAAAAATGGGAAATTTGGTGTTCTTCGTTTCTTGGGTTTTTATGAACGTTATAGATATTAATTATAAGTTTAAAGATTAATAATTATAAAAAAAATTAGAATTTAATATTATAATTAGGGTTTTAAAATTGTTTTAAAGTGATTAATATGATTCTAAATCTTAATAAATTATTTTAGATCTGAATATATGGTTCTGATTGAACATGAAACAATAAAATATATTATTTATATAAAATTAAGAATTAATATTAATATATAAAATTTTACTAAAAAACAATTATTTGCAACCTTCAAATGTATGAAGTGTTGTTTGTTTACCTTAATAGTTTAATTAAAAGACAACATCTGAATCGTTAAGAGGTGAATCTTGTTTGACAAAAAAATTGTCTCTTAATTGTTCTAAAATCGTCTAAATGAGTTTGTGTCATGGGCCTCTTTTAATCGTTCAACGCCCTAATTTCATTGTAAACAATTACAAAACAATTATAATTTATTTTATGCTATATCATGAGAGTTTCTTAATCATTCTGACCACTTAACCATTACATACCAAACCATTCAGCAATTGTCAAACATCCCCGAAGTCATCAAACTTCTACATAATGTCACCGGTTTGAGTACCGCAGAATTTTCTAAATATTCTCTGGGTACCTGTAATTATTCGAGATACACATAAATTAACGACTATAAATATTTTATGATTATAATTTGTTTGATAACCAAAAGATTAACACAAAAAAGGTTCAAGCAAGAGTGAGGTCTACCCTTCACCAACATTGTAACAAGGGGTGGGGGCGATGGTGCATAGAAAGGTGGTGTGACGTTATCGGCCAACCGTATTAGATATTGACAATTTTATTTATATATGGACTAATGGTTTTAAAACATGTCCAATAAAACAGGTATCAGATGGTTGGGGAAATGATGCCTTATACAAGATTGGATACTTTCTCTATCAGATGTATTCTAAAACCTTGAGTTCATGCATGGATAAAGCTGACAATATCTAATACATCCGTTCGAGGATGTAACATTAACGGCCGTGCACCGGGTCTCAAGGTGGAGCCCGACGATGGTGTTGTAGGGGGTGAGTAACGATGTTGACTAACAACTGTAACTGACTAACCGGTAACAAAGTGAGTAATTGATGTTGTGTGTCAAATATAACTGGTGGTTGTCTATCAGTAAACAAATTTTTCACTGCATAGCATAAATGCAATATCCTTTTTACCATGTGTACTACCATGTGAAAGGAGATGGTGAAAGTGATATAATAGTACTAGTACCGTAAGGGTAAATGAATATAAAACGATTAAAAGACGGGCGTCTAAACCATCTTTTCTGTAATAACTGTGTAAGTTGAAAGTACAAGACATTTGTCAAATTCATTTTGAATTTTAAATTTAATTTTAATAAAATCACCAAATTTTGCAAACAAGTCCTTGATTTTTGTAAGAACTGGAGGAGTTGAATTTCTTTCTTAGTAGCGTTAGTATTCAGCTGACTGAGGAGGATTGTTGGGTACGGTGGCGTAGTAAGGATGTGACCTTATTGGTTAAGACTTTGAGGTGCTTAATTAATTGAAGACGAACTTTTGCAGGTACCTGGAATATTATTCAAACGCAGTGGAATTCACTTATACCAAGAATTCTGGTCTAGATGATCCTTTACGCTAAAGGTTTGGACCTCCACTGTATTATTTGTTTGTACTGCGATGATGAGATTGAAACTATCGAGCATTGTTTGTTGAAACGCCTGCAAAGTTTTAAATTGTGTAGCGAATTTGGTCAATGATAATAATAACGAGAGGTTTGACAACATAAATATTGGTTGAACCCACAACCCTCATCATCTCCCCCATCCTTTTATTTCATATCATGAAACAATATCATTATATTTTTTCTAAATTTTTTTAATAATATTTATTTTTTTTCATATAAAAAACAATAAGTTTTAGATTCAAAACTTTCATTTTGGTACCTAAAATGTAAAGTTTTACGAATAACCGGTTGAAACATTAACTGGTTATTGTACTGATGTGGTATCCAACTCAGTATTATTTGCTGACGTGGTTAGTGACATGAACTTTTTTAATCTAAAATTGGTCTTTTTTAATCTAAAATCCGGGTACTTAAATGTTTAAAATTTTATATTTTAGGTACTAAAATAGAAGTTTTGAAAGTACGTTACTCAAAATAAGAATCAGGTTAAAGTACATTACTTTTTCATGCAATTTGCCTTCAAAAATATAAAAGTAAGTTAAGTTTTTTTAGTCTTTTTATAATTTTACCATATTAATTGTTATTACACAAATGAATTTAATTCATTTCATAATTAAGGATACAATGTCTATTTATTTTAGAACAACGTAAAATCATAAGATACACACTTATTTTCAGATCAAGAGAGTAATGATAATTAAAAATTTGGGAATGATCAAAAGATCTTTGGCCTAGCGGTATCGTAGTCTTTGGCTTCTTAAAAAATCAGAAGTTCAAATTTCATCAAAAATAAGAATAATATGTAAGTTTATTACATTTACTGTAGATAAATATTATATAAAAAAAATAGGAATGATTGTTGTTGGGGGCATGCATGGTTGTGTGGACATGTTCAAGTGCCAAACATGCACCAAAAGCAAAGAATTGAACCAATATCAAGACAAAAAGTAAAAGAATTGACCAAACATCATTCATATGTTCCCTTTATCAAATCATGCACTCCCCTCTCTACCAACTTTTAATAAATACAACAAAAAACTAATCACACATAACCCTACCCCCCAAAAGGGAAAAAAAACTGGTCATCGGCTTAATAGTATCGTAGTCTTTATTTTTCTAAAAGGTTAGAGATTCAAACCTTACCAAAGGTGAGGAGGGTGTGTGAGTTTATTTGTTGCATTTGCAGTATATAAATATTATATACTTCAAAAAAAAAAAAACTTTTTTGTGGGAATTATTCTACATAGAAGCAATATTCGAGACTCTTTTTATCGTTTCGAGTCCTACAAGATCAATAGGAATGTTCTTGATTATTCTTTAGAGTTTCTGGGATCAGTCAATATTTGCACAAACTGATCTGGACACTCTGTTAACTAAAAAAGTATTCAAGACTAAACGGGATGTGCTAAACAGCTAAAATGCAATAAAATAGTTATAAATCATTTTTAATTAATGAAGTAAACTGTTGAAAAAGATTAATGGGGTGTTTGGATTGCTTATTTGAAACAACTTATACTTTTCAATAAAAGTATTTATCAACTTATTATAAGTTAGAATGATTTAACTTCTTCAAAAACTCCTTATTACCGGTATAAACTGTTTATCCAAACACTCAAAAGTGCTTATTATCAGTACCACATGAGAATAAATCAAGAAGTTGTTTTTATAAGCAATTTCAAACAACCTCTAAGAAATATGCTAAATTGCTTCTTGATAGGTTAAAAATAGTCCATGAACAAACAAGCATTTGGAATGTAAAGATGAAACCATTTTAATTCAAATGAGATGTAAAATTGGTACAAAAATTTATATTAATTGGTTGAAAGTATAAAAATTAATTCTTTTTTACAAAAATAATAATATAATACATTAAAAAAACAATAGTACAAAAAAACATGTTGTGAATTAAAAACCATAAGGGTGGTGTCCAATTGGTTTGAGCTTGAGCTCCAAAGGTCAAAAGTGTTTGTAGGTCTCAAGTTCGAATTTAAGGAGAAATAAAAATCTCCTTGTAGCCATGGAGGTTCAAATACAGTGACTCCGGACTATCCGTGAAGCAGATGGTCACCCGTAATTAATCGGGTCGCATAACGGGTTGGAACGATACGGAGAAATGTTTATCGGGTTGATCCAATTGAATCTGGGCTTGGATGGATATATTTAATGGGTCAAAAGGTAAAAGGTGTTGGGCTCTATTGTACCCATTTTTTCTTTGTATTTTATATTCTAATTTAATGAAATTATGGTAAAAAAAAATATTCGAAGAATAAATTTTGGATTTGATCCCTGGACTATAACATTTTTTTTATCAGTCTTTAATCTTTATTTATCCCAAAAATGTACCTTATAAACACGAAATCGATTGATTTTGGTGCCTTCATCAACTAGTATTCAATTTTTCTGTTAACTTAAGGGTATTTTAGATATTTTGTATTTTTGTAACTATTTCTTTTTAATAATAGACCCACCCTACGTTCTGTTCACTAGCACAAGCTATCGCGTGACCTCCTTCCCCACAACTGATCAAGAAAGCGTACCCATCCAAGAAACAACAAGCAACAAACAAACGCCTTCCAATGTCGCTACCCACCGCTGTAAATTCTCTCAACAAACCCTCAAGTGCGAAAATTGTAAGCTACTCCATCTCTACGCAGTTTGTTGAAGAGGATTGAGGTGCTATGAACCATAAAAGGCGATTATGTGTAAGCTTCGCTGGTCTATGAGGTTGAGTTCTATGCAATGGAGTAGCAACATGTGGATATGTCGAAAACACCTCTTGAACAGGGTAATTTCATTTGCTGATAGCATTGATGAGTCGAACAGATCGACGATGTATGCATCGGAGTTGCAGGGACGACGACGATGGAGGTTGAGAACAGTAAGGCTAGCGGCATTGCTCCCTCCTTCTCGGAGAAGAGCAAAATGACAATGAAGTACGAAGGCGGTGGGGCGGGGTTCACAATGGAGGAAGGGGGGAGTATTCGTGAGTATTCATAATGAATATATGTCATTCGTCATGAATATTTTATCATGTTATTCATTATAAATACTCAAACAAAGGTGCTCCATAATATAGATATAATCAATATATATTTCATTTAGTTAATTAGTTGAACCTATAAAATGACTACAATACCCTTCAAGAGCCAACGAGGAAAAAAATAACGCCCGTTAGTGGCAGGGACTTAAACAGTCAATTTCACATACGTCAAAAACAAAATTTGTAATAAATAAAGATTAGAGACCGATTTCGTTGAAAATACATAGTTCAAGGACCAAAACCAAAATTTACTCTAATTAATTTTCAAATTCTTCTTTCCCGAGGAATGTATGGTATTGCTCACAACGTGTTTGATGAAATGCGTAAGAGAAGGGAGTATGTTATACACACATTCAATAGGATGACAGAAAAGACTCTGCTTGATTCGTTTCACAGTGTGCACATATATGAATCTTGCTCAAAAAAACTGAACTCAAACTACACGTTTGATTACGAAAGAATAATAAGAAGCTTCAATCTTCAAGATTCTGCTGTGTTTTCAGTGACCCCATTGACGGTTTCACGCAGCTTGTCTAATTGGCTGAAGTTTCCCTTGACCATGAACAGCTGTGTGTGATGGTGTTTACAGTAGAGATTTTGGCCATGAGTTACGTAGTTTGATGGACTTATTACACATCCGCCATGGATGCACTTGAAACAAGCTTTATGATATGCAGTTCCATCAACTCCCACCTGAAAACAAACATCAATGGAACTCAATTGAAAATGGAGGCAAATCCACCATGAAACATGAAAAGCATCCTACTGTGCACTCATATCTAATGGGGTCTTGAAAGAAAGCTGAAAACACAAGCAACAAATTATCGAAAAATGCTTTGCTTGGTGTCTGATCCACAGGTATCATCATAACCTTCTATTGTACATAATCATTTGTGATCCTATTCCTCGATGTGTGATCATATATCTATCTCAATACCTGCTTCTGTTGGTATGTTTTGTTTGTTCCTGTTTGATGTTTGTTGTTGCTTTCTCGGTTTCTCCTAACATGTTTTCACAATTTTACCACTGTCTTTCTTGTTTTCAAGTTCTTATGTTCTTTCTCGCCAAACTACTCTATGTAGTAGAGGTCAAGTTTGCATACATCCCGCCACCATAACCCACCTCTGGATAGATTTATTGGGTTTTTTAGGTGTGGTTTCGTTTATATCTATCTTAACACATACATGCTGCATTCATCTTGTGCACATACTACCCCATCATGTATCAAACCACCTTCCTATAGAACCCACCCTTTACTATCCTTAATTGGGATCTCTGATCACATAGATTCCCAAATTGTTGCCATTTCACCAACCTTGCTATTTTTCCCAATCTTCATTAATTTTAAATGAATCGCAGTTTTGTGTTTGTATCATTATTATCATAAGATCTTACCTTTTCAAGGGGGTAGACAGTTTTCTTGCATGCAACACACTTTTCTTGTGTTCCACCAAACATTCTTGTTATTCTGCTGTTAGATTGGCCCTGAAACACCATAAGCAAACGGAAGTCATTAGGTTTACTCTAACCATCAAATTCAGAATCGAAATACAAGATACATGGACATTTTGCAGATGGGTACCCGATCAGAAGATCTATCGTTTCTAGCAGTTTTAGGAGCACCTACAAGATATCATATAGATAAAGAATAATTACGCTTAAGAAAGTGAATTAATGTGAAGAAGATAACGAAAAGAGACCAACCTTCGAAACTCTTATCCAAACTGCCTGTCATTTTGAACAGTTGATCAAAGTGTGGCTTACAATATAGAACTCCCTCAAAAGAGCTATAGTTACTTAGCTGCAAGAGATCGTATTTCTGTTAGAAAATAAATCAGGATTCTAATTCATATAACTTGCGGATAGATGTCCAATTGGGTATGCTCAAATAGATATGGGTAACCTAGGGGCAGTTTGGTTGTTTTTTTCCATTAAGTCATGTATGGCTTAAGCTATCTGTATGCATTACGTTATATAGTGTGGATTAAGCTAGAGTTAAAGGAACAAGAAACCAGTAAAACGAAGTTAACTACCCTCAATAAATTCCTAACATGAAAGTTGGTAAGGGAATGCCCGAATTGTGCATACCTTGAATCATGATTTGGTACTAAGACACTGTAACCGCGATACCTTTTCTTTCTTCCGAAAAGGTCAACTACGTAAAGTCAAACCGGTAAAGTTACATCTTCATGGGTCAGAAGGAAAGACCACCACAAAGACACGATTCCCAAACCAAAGTAGTTGGAACAAAAATAAAGAGACGGAGACAAGGTTGGTAAATTACTAAACTACCCATATCAAATTAAAACCCTAAAACTTTCCATAATTCTTTCACCCAATTCAACAACTATAACTCAAAGAAAAAAAGAGAACCAAATGTAACATCAAGAAACTGTCATACTCAACCACCCACAATCTTTCAAGATAGTATCCCAACACCCACAAAAAAAATGCCTTAGTTTTTATAGAAATCTCCATCTTTGGTAATCACAGTCACAGTTGATAACTACATAACTATATATATATATATATATATATGTGTGTGTGTGTGTATGTATCTAAAGTCTAAACCAAACCCAGATCAGAAATAGCAAAAAAGATTTGATTAATTCAATATCTTGATCAAGAAATCACATGATGATGAGAGAGAAACCTTGAGGGTGCCTTTGCAATGGTGACATCTGAAACAAGACCTGTGATATACTTTATTATCAACTGTGAGTTCATCCACAAAGTAAACAGTTTTCTCACATGCCTTACACTTCTGTGTCGTCCCTCCATATGTTGCCATTTTTCAACTTCAAGAAACTTTAAGAAATCAAAAAACAGAAATTTGGGTGGTTGTTAATGGTGGTTTACGGCGGAGATCGGCGGAGAGAGAAACTGTAGGCGTTACTTGTAAACATATATGTAGTAGTAGTAGTAGTTGTATTATACCTTTTGATGAAGAAGGTGGTTTCTTTAAAAAAATAAAAAGTATTTAAAAAAAATAAAAATGTATTTAAAAAAAATAATTATTATAACGTCTAATTTGCTATAATATAAGGAGTTAGTAACCGACCACTAATTTCACCTAATTTCGAATTTATCATTCTAAGTTGGAAAATTATCAAAAAGAAAAAGTGGAATTTTGCAAAAAGTTTTATATTAGTTTAATTTATATAATGATTTTTCCTTTAATTTCATCTAAAAATAAAATCTGAATCATATCACAACAAGATTGATGGATATCGGGATCGCAATTCTCATCCCGACCATCTTTGTCAGGGGACGAGATTTTTTTCATCTCCATCAGAGAACGGGAATTCCCCATAGGGGAATCGGGGATTTTTCCATGTTTATAAAATCAAAATTTTTCCTATAATATCTTTATAAATGTCAGTTTCATGTTTAAACAATGCATTACTCTAAAATCTTAATTGTTGTATTTGTATAAATACAATTCAAAGATAAATATATCAGTTAAAATACTTAATATTAAAATTTATACATCTATGTTATTATATAAACAAAAGTTCCTTCAAAAACAATCAAAGTAATTCTATGATATCTTTTACTAGTATTCTCATCATTGAAGATTGATTAAATTTATGTGTTATATATATACTCATTGTTGGCGCCTGCGGCAGCGCCTCTGGAGTCGCCCCCTGTTCTGGAGCCAGCAGGTCCTAAATGACCCTCCTCTTACGGTTAAAAAAGTGGTTAACCATCTCGAATACCCAATCAGGGTTCAGGTTCGAGGGCCTTCTCGGTTAACAAATTCGAGGGTTCTCCATCCTTGATCAACCATGATTCGGATATCAAGTAGTGGTTTCTTAACGTATATAAAGTTTATACCTCATAAAATAAAACAATTCTATTTTTAAATAATATCTCTAAAATAATACTAATAATTATTTTGTAAAGAAAATTAAAAAAATAGATTGATAAATAATGTGATAGAGAGACAACCAATTAACAACCTATTTTTGCATAAAACATCATTTTATTTTTTTATATTAATGCAACTAAAAATATTTAAATTGGCGAACTTCAACTTGTACGTATTTTAGGAAGGACAATTTCGTCTTTTTGGATAATTCCTCTTTTTTCTTTCTTATTTTAGGGAAAATTGCACCAAAATGGAACCAACTTTCACATGATTCTTATTTTGGGGAACGAACTTTCAAAATCGTCATTTTGGGAACCAACTTTTACCTGATTCCTATTTTGGGGAACCAACTTTCAAAATCGTCATTTTGGGGAACCAACTTGGACCTGATTCCTATTTTGGGGAACCAACTTTCAAAATCGTCATTTTGGGGAACCAACTTGCACCTAATTCATATTTTGGGGAACCAACTTGAAAAATAAATATAGAAAAATGGGAAAATTACACCAAAATGGAACCAACTTTTAAAATCGTCATTTAGGGGTCTCTATTGAACTTTTTGTTTATTTAAGGGTCTGATTGATCTGTTGAACAGGTAACAGATAATTTAAGGGTCTCTATCAAACTTTTGGTTGGATTTGCCAAATTTGATTTAAACTTTAATATTGACACAGATTGGTTAGATATAAAAATCTTGAATGTGATATTTAATATTTATTTTTTATTGCATCAATTAATTTTTTTCTATTAAATTGATTTTTTTATTGCATTAGAAAAAAACAATTTTTATCGTGGTCATTTGTATTTTTTTCGAAAAATCTTCAATTTGATATCTGAATTTAAAAAAACGAGATTTGAAATGAAAAATAGATTTTATTGCATTATTTTTTGAAAAAAAATGAATTTTAGTTATTTTTCTATAATTATTTTGCAAGTTGGTTTCCCAAAATAGAAATCAAATGCAAGTTGGTTCCCCAAAATGACGATTTTGAAAGTTGGTTCCCCAAAATAGGAATCAGATCCAAGTTGGTTCCCCAAAATGACGATTTCAAAATAGGAATCAGGTGAAAGTTGGTTCCCCAAAATAAAAATCAAGTGAAAGTTGGTTCCCCAAAATGACGATTTTGAAAGTTGGTTCCCCAAAATAGGAATCAGGTGAAAGTTGGTTCCCCAAAATAAAAATCAGGTGAAAGTTGGTTCCATTTTGGTGCAATTTTCCCCTTATTTTATTATTCAAAATGCTTCGTATATTATTTTTTTTCTTTCTACTTTTTTTTCAACTTTTTATTAATAAGTTTATTATATTATAAAACAATATTTTTAGTTATTAAAATTTTATCAAAAATCATATTCATTAAAGCATCTCCAGAAAAACCTTAAAAATATAAACCTTTCAACAATTTTTTAAAAATAAAAGAAAATCAATTTTTTATTTTCTATAATGTTTCAACAGCTTCTCTATTTTATTCTCTAAATTGATAGAAAATCATAGAGAAAACTCTTAATATAGAAGAATTATCTAACTCTAATGGGTTGATTTAATATTATTTTACATATATATTTTTTTAAAAGTGTATTCTAATTATAAAATTATAGAATACTAAAATCTCATTAAGCCACTTTATTATCCTTCGGTTATTGCTTTAATATATATAAAGATTATAGAAGATTTATTGAAGATGCTATAACATCTCAACTTCAACCATACTTCAAGAACACCAAATTTATCTGATATATAAAGATATAAAATCTTACTCGATAAGAGTGATGGTTAGAACCAAGTATCTTACCCAGCAAATGAGGAAGACGACCCTTAACCGGTTAACATTTACCGAGTAAATTATTGCATATGATGCCGTTTTGAAGGACTAAAATCAAACTCGGGTAAGATAAGTGATAGTGTTGAATTATATCGGTACGTTAACCGTAAGTGTTTGGTAAATGTGCCGTTAATCATCTTAAACGAAAAGAAAATAATGATTCAAATCCAAACAAGCTAATTCTCTTAGAGCAAAAGTTATATTGATATCCAACATCTCGTTTTCTAGATTGCAAAGTTAATTATATTACTAAAATATTAAAAACCATAACGAAAGTTCATCTCTCTTTTTCCATTTATTTCATTGCTTGGTTGGAGACATTTAACATCGGAAATAACAAAACGAAGTTTTTGAAGAAATCTCCAAATCTGGATGGAGGCGTTAACATATACCGATAAACAAAAGGCTTCTTAACGATGATCTGCTTTCCGAGCTTCTTCTCGTGTTACGGCTCTCACATAGATCTCATAGCAACATCCTGAAAACAAATTTAGAACATCAGAGTGAGAGTTTATCATCGGGTCAAAATTTCAGCACTACCCTTTTCTGGACAAAAATTACTTATTTGTCCATTATCGTCGTTACAAATGACACAATGGTTTGATTTGGGCCCATAAAATCCTTTTTATTGCTTTTTTATTGAAGGGTATTTTAGATATTAATCAAACATTGCAATTTACAATCTAGAATGCATAGGAATCTTGATCAATGGTAACAATTCACATGGTAATGGTGTGAGGAGCAGAAGGCAAAGACAAGTTTTACTATTAAGTAGCAAAAGGAGAGTGCACAAAAAAATCCTTGCATTTTTTACAAAAGAGATGCAAACAGCAAATTGAAACCAAACTAAATGGACGCGGTAAACCCATGGAGAGATGGGGCCTGGAGAGGGTAAGATGTACACAAACCTTACCTCTACCCAAGCCATGAGGGAGGGGTAGAGAGGTTGTTTCTATGAAGACCCCTGACTTGCAGAACAAATTCTTGTCCACGAATCTTGTTGAGATTATTCTTGACGTTCTTAATTCTTGTTCTTCCAAACTAGTTCTTGGGGTCCATTCAAACATCCCCCCTCTACATCAACTGGTGAAACTTTAGGCCTTCTTTTTAACTGGCGTCGCCCCTAAGGAGTTGATGACACGTATGGCAATTGAATCTAAGACCTTTAAACCCAGGTCACAAGCCTTAACCCTTCTTAATTCTTGTTTGAAAACATCAATGGAAGTTTTGAATAATTCTAAGTATATATTATCTGTCTCGTCACAGGACTAAATATGAACACTAAATTTTGGCATTGTGGTGATCTAGAATACCCAGACATGGTAAGTCGAAACCCACAGAAAGTGTATAGGCATATATACCCACATAATTACGAAGAACTCATATTCTGCATTTTGAGGCATGTACAATCAAATAGAAGAACCATTTTCCAACCCTTATATGGTCCAACACAAGCACAAGGATTTTGCCCAGGCTGCAGAACCATTATATATGTTATGCTGGACCAAGGGATTTTGTGGTCACCAATATTTTGCCCATTTGACAGCATTCAGGCATAATCACATTCCTTGGTCTCTGTCCTCCGATCACTGACATCAAGTCAATATTCCAAAAGAATTCCAAGATGGTTGAATGAAAAAAAGACTAAAAATGACAGATGGTTGCACAATAAATTTGGTCCTTTTTATATTACTGAAGGTGATATAAAACAAGGAATTACACAATCATATCAACAAAAAAAAAGTAAGGATTGCAGCCTCAAACAAGTGATATAAAAATAACTCATGTGTTATGATCTTGCTTTAGTCAAATCCTTATGCTGCAATAAAGGTGGAAAGCTATTATTTCTCAAGTTAGTTAGGAATGACATACCTGCTACGACGGCAATGGTGAGGTAGTCTCCTATACTTCTGATGCGCGAGCTGCTTTTCTTATATGATTTGAAGCGAGTTAGTGCTGGGTCTTCTGCCAAAAGCTGCAAAGGCCAAAGGTAATTTGTTAATTTGTAAAGATCATAGTACAAACTTCAGAAGACCAGGTCTCGATAAATAATATCAAACAAGGATGCAATCTCAAGGATGCAATCTGAAGGCAGAAATGACAAAATGCAGAACTAACAGGAATTGGGCATCTTTGGCAGTTTTGAAATTTGCAACAGGAAGAATATCACGGACTGGAAGTTATTCTAAGTAGCTGGTGAGAAGTTGTATAAGAAAAACAAGTTATGCTCAGGTACTGCCATATTGGACCTAAATGAACAAGACTGGTAGCACTTCGGGGGACACAACAGCAAATAAAGTCTAGAAATATAGAAGTATCAGATGACGCAATTATCATATATTCCAACAGGCATTGGTAGCTTGACCAATGTGCCCATTATTAAAGCACAAGCTGGGGAACAGATCAGCCTACACTCACTCAATTGGTCTAAATCCAGGCATTCATGAGCATCAAGTTCAACATTATCATATTATTTTAAAACAAACAAGTAGAAGTAAAAAGAAACAAATCAAAGCAGGTACTAAGTTGCAGCAAGAAAATTGATTTTTGCGGGTATATGTATAGTTACCTAATTATCCCCCACTTCAACAAGAAAATGCTTATATGACAATGTGACTCCGATCTTGAAGTTGAAATAATCACTTTGAAAACGCACATCCCTAAGTATTGTAAAGCTATACAATGTTCACCTCATAGAAGATTACAGAAAAGTAAAACACAGGCCCTTGTAAATTTATTAGATGTAAGCATGGATTTCATCAGCTCCTACATTAGCTACTCTTGACAAATATCACTCACACCCACGGGTTTGTAGAGTTAAGGAGCATAAGCATCTCATTAGGAAGATGAAGATCAAGCCATAGCAAGACAAACTTGGAGTGACTCTTGGGTTTCTGCAGAAACTGGAGTTACAAATGCCAGAGGACTATAGAAGTTACTATGAAGAATATAACTCTAGGTGAAGTTGATGTATTCTTTCAACAAAAAGTTCCTGATGAGAATACAAGATGATATACCATGGTCTATGCCCTTGTTTCTATAACAATTTCCAGATGAGATTAGAAGATGAAATGGTCTATGCCCTTGTTGCTATAACAATTTCCAGATGAGATTACAAGATGATATGCCATGGTGCTCTTCGTGATCATATGACGTTGATTGATGAGACTAGACAAATGTGTCGATGCAAAGTTGGAGGTTGAAGGAACACTAAAAAAACTAAAGGATTTAGATTAAGTCAAAACAAAATAGAGCATATGAAGTGCAATTTTAGCACTGCTGATAGGGAAATGGAAGATGCAATAGTGCAAAATAGTAGCTTACTTTCGATTATTTTAAATTGCTTCTACTGACATATGGAGAGATTGAAAAGAGCAAGGTGGTTCAAATGGCAACATGTCGCACTGAAGCTAAAAATTTAAGAGCTATCACATGGAGATAAGCCCTAGTATGCTTCACAAGACGGAATATTGGGCCACCGAAAGACATGTAATGAGTAATCAATGTTGAGATCGATGTATTGCCATATACAAACAAAACATCAGAAATGAATATATACAAGGTAAGTTTTTGTCTACACCAATTGAAGATATACAGCAACAGGACAGCATAATCTGAAGGGAAATGCAATTTCAAACTTACAAACAATAAAACTAGATAAGAAATCATGAACGAATTTAGGGTTCCTTACTCTTGCAATTTGGCATGAAAACTTAAATTCAAAACAGAGAACATACACTCTAGACATTTATATTCAATATTACTTAGCTTCGATCTGCAACACTCGACAAACCATCTACACATTTAATCTCGATACGAATAATCGGATTCAAATTAATGGCAGGTGTAAAAATCAGTAGATCCATAAGAAAGTCAAATAATCACTTACAGCCTTCTCGCGTAATCCAGGTTCAACATGCAGTGCACGTCGAGATTGCAAGAGTAAACTCTCTGCCGTCTAATCAATCAAAAAAGCATAAATTCAGAAAACAGCCATCAATTCTCGAAGAGAAGTAAAGAAAAAAGAGAAAATCAATGGCAGATTCAAGGAATAAATAAAGAAATAGATCGAGAGACCTGAAAATGATGAGCACGAAGAACGGAGAAGGTGTGGCGTCGGAGTAGAGAAGCCATTGTTGTCAGCAAGCAGAAGAACAACGATCCGACTCTGTCTGGGCTTAACGATAGATAACCAGGCAAAATAATATGGGTCAAACGGGTTGGAATCGGGTCGATTCGTTATTAAAAAAGTATCTATTTAAAAAAACTTGTATAAAAATTTAATAATATAATATTATCATCAAAAAATAAATACATGTTACGTCAAAATATGTAATTGAACTTTTGAATCGGTGATTTAGCATATAATATAATAATGAAAACTGTTAATCTATGTCTATACTATATTATGAAGTATTTGATAAAAAAATTTAAAAATCAATTTTTATACATGAAGTACTGTTTATTGATTCATATTATTTAAAATTCAAGATTAAAAGTAATTTTATGTAAATACAACATATTAAAGCTCCATTTTTAGATTCGTGTAACTAACTGTAGATAAAAATAATTAAATACAGGATAAACATTTATTTTGGATATATAAAATCAAAATTATAATTAAGATAATCATTGAATTCTAACATAATGTTTAATTATTATCTTTATAAAAAATTAATTATTAAACTAAAAATAAATTATTTTGTTGTTAAAATTTAAATTAACGTATAATAAAAAAATTGAATTAAAGAAGCTACACTAAAAAATCAAAAACTATTAAATAATTAATTTGATATTGATATTGATTTATTTATTTGAGAAGTAATTTAGGGATTTTTGGTTTTCTCCATTTTGTTGATCAAATAATTGCTCTGTATAAACTATAAAGTTATATTTACATTTATTCTTATTCAAGTTTCAAAACTTGCAAATATCTTCTCACGCCTTATAATGCCATACATGGCATGCCATAGTGGGCTCCACGCTTTATATTCACGCCAAGAGGATTAACGTGGCGGCAAGGTCGTGCCATGACGACACCAAGACGCGTTTTTTAGAATATTGATTAATAGTACTTTATTTTTAAATTAAAATGGATTATTTTTTTAAATATAAAAATGATTAAAATTGAAATTAGACAAATTATATCAAATAAACAAACCGTTTATTCTATTTAATTTTATATCCATATTGTTATAGGTTTTTTTTTTCCATTTATATAAAACAAAAATCACATTTGAACCTCCACTTGAATTTGTGGAGCCTTATGACTTATTCATATGTGAAGCTCTTTATTTTTAGTTTCACATATGAATATTTGATACTTTGTATACGTTAAATTTAAGCATAGATCACTTTGATGTTTAACACATGATTTAAAATATTTCACATATACGGAAAAAAATCCCCTATTCCTCCGTTGGGAATCCCGTCTCTGATGATGTGATCATATTCCCCAACATGGATGAAGATGAGAATGCAGATTGGGATCGAGGATGGTGATCGGGGTCCCGTCCCATCCCCACACATTCCCATGCCTAACTTTTCTTGCAACAAATCTTTACCCATTTCTTTAAATTTGATATTGATCTTAAATACCACATAATTTAAATTGCAATAAAAAGATATACATCATATCTCAAGTCTAACACCCCTGGGACTGGGAAGAGAAAAGGAAACAAAACCAAGTGTTTGTTTGTTAGATTAAAGTGAATAGGACTTATAGTTTATTTGATCAACTATACATGACTATTGGATAGTGGCTTAATAATATATAGAGTGTCTTATTTAGTAAGCTTTTAGAGAGAGTTTTATGCAGAAAGCCATATTTTTCTTCAAACCTGTCCCTCCTAATTAAAATTACGCTCCTACCATCTATAAAAAAACCCTCCCAAACAAAAAACTTCCCGACCTATATATACAAAATAACCTATACAAACAACTTTATTCATTCATGGCTTAATGAAAAACCAGTCAAAGAGCCCCGATTTACAAATACATTGGTAAACAAGTAAAAAACATTCAAAATAACTCTATGACTCGACCATCTTAATCTACAACAGAAATTAGCCGTCAGCTCCTAGACTTCCCCAGGGCCGGAAACGAAAGCCTTCCCTTTTAGCATTCGGTTAATTAGTTGCAAACCGGTTGTTTACGTAACAACCCATGACCTCTTTATCACAAAAAAAAAAAAAACTAACCTTACCACAAACCCACGACTCAGAACACTCAAATTTTCTACATGTTGGTGTTGGAACGGTCTCACTGCACCGAATCATTCAGAGCATCTAATAATTGTGACCATTTACTCATTCAGCATCTACCAAACAGTCATTATGTTTGATCGAGGCTGCAACAACAATCACTTTGTCATCATCAGGTGTTTGAAACAGTTGATGATAAAAGGACATTCTCTTCTTGCGTACTTTTGAGATCATTGAAATCCATTCTACCGCATACCACACCATCTTCCATCTATCGAAAAGATTAAGATATTGCATAATATCATCCTCCTCCAAAAGTTCTGGATCATGTTCCAATTGGTTCGGTTCTTGCAATGTTCTAGTAACATCGGTATAAGTCATTCTACTAGTACCAACACTGGGTGTAGAGGGACTCATTTGTGGATAATTGTTTCGTGGTTTCTTTGGAGAGTTTGAGATAGCGGGTTCAGATGCAGAACGTTTGGGGCTTTGGCTTTGACCCTCTAAACTAAAATTATCATATCCCGAGCTGTTCTTGGGAGAGATTGGTGTAATGACCTGAGGAGAGGTAAGGTTTATGGGATCATGGGTGTCAATTATTTGAGGAATCACGATGTTAAGGCCAATACGGAGGGAGTTTAAGGTGGTGGTGCCTAACTGAAGTTGGTTAATAAGAGAAGCCTCATCATTGAAAGAGACTACTTCCTTCCAGTGTTCAGATGAAGACACTACCAGCTCCTGAGCATCAGCCTGTTGGTAAAATCAATTAGCCTATGTCTCGGAAACTAACTTATAAGCTAGTTGTTGGCTCGTGAGTTAACCGATAAGCTAATCATGTTTGGTAAAAACTAACTGATAAGCTAAATGACAATGCAAAATGAGCCAAATGACCTAAAAGGACATGTTGAAAAATTAATTTGAAAAATACAAGGGGCATAATTGGAAAAAGTGGAAAAAAACCCATGGAGCTTATCAAAACACTACTTTATAAGCTAACTTATCAACTAGCTTACGGCTAAAACGGGGTTTTTTCAGTAAGCTCAAAAAAATAACCGCACTTATGGCTGCCAAACATGGTCTTAGTAAAATTCTCAGCATTGCATATCATTGATAATAGCAGGCTTGGTCACGAAACTTACTTTATCATTATTGAAGGGTCTTTTATACTTGCAGTTAATAGTTTATACTCTAGATGATGATGAGTGCTAAACTATATTAATTGAGAGAACACACCTTTCTGTCACTGGGAAGCTTATCGCTAGGGATGAATTGAGCTTCTGCAATGAGTCCCACCAATTTTCCGAAAATATTGAAAACCACACCGTTATTCTTTTCAACATCCCTTGGATGATGGTACAAGTATACCCCCTTATCATCTTTACACTTCTGTGCATGGTCTGTGATGACCTTCCATTTCTTGGGACCAACATCAAGTATCTGCAAATAGGACAATAGTGATATTGTTATGCAAGAACATTAAGAGTATGGTTGAGCAAGGCCTATTTTTCTTTTGCGTAATGGTGGGTGTCCAAGCCAGCTTGCATGCACCTCGTCTAATCCCATGGGGCCTTAGAGATTAGCAGCCAGGAAAATTCCAAGTGGCCTTGAGAGACTCAGACTGGTGACTTATGGGGAGTAGCCCCAAGGCCTAGCCTTTATTTGCCAGTTGAGTTGGCCCTCAAGGTTTGAGCCAGGCCTGTTGCTGAAACTCGTAGCAGCAGGCTTTTGCTTTAGAACAAGTGACCATTAGCAAGAGCTAGGACAGATAGTAATGGAAAAAACAAGCAAAATAATTACATCTTTGAGCCTTTTCGGATTTATAGCATGAAAAGTGAGGATGTCCATCACGGTTTTTATGTTTGCTTCACTCATACGTTTAAAGCAATCACTACGTCTGGAAATCATGTTTAATCGCCACGGCTCGTCAGATAAGGATGGAGTTGGGTGCTTATTGTACACTGCAAAGTAAAAACATAAGCTATGATAGATAGTAAGTGTTTACTCATTAACCCAGAAAAAAGTTGTTTGATGCTAGGTTGAGAAACTCGTTGTATCTTAGGAAACCGACTGCAAGTAAGACCCAATCACCCAACATGAAGTTAACTAGATAATAGACTTGGATTCATGATTTAGCAACCAAAACATACAACTTCACCATATACTCCCTCCGTCCCAAATTAAGTGTCCACATTTCTATCTTTAGTTTGTCCCAAAATAAGTGTCCACTTTTAAAAGTAAGTTTCCACATTCTCATTCTACCCTTAATTACGAGATGGAGAAAGTTTCTCTCCATTATCAAGGGTAAAAGTGTCAATTAGTTATTTAAAAACTGTAATAATCTATAATTTCTAAAATCATGTACCATTTTCATTGTGGACATTTATTTTGAGAAGGAGGGAGTAGTTGATGTGAATAACCAGCTTTGGTATATATTCTCTGAAAACAGGCTACAAAAGGTTTTTCTTTGCGGTCCTCGTGCAACTTTGCAAAGAAATTATGCTCGAAACAGGAAGAGAAAAGGCCATAACCCGATTTTCTCAAGCATAAGCAGGAACTAAGATGGAAAGATTGGCTAGGAACAATCCCTGCAAATATTATTCTGTTTATTTAGACCTAAACAAGAACCTCAAACCTGAAACTTCTAAGACCATTGATCTTTGCAACAGCTCCTGCAATATAATACTTTTTAACTGATTTCACAAATTGTGTCGACTTTCCAGTGGTCTTAAAAAAACTATTAAGATACAGAGTGCTTTTCTTTAGTCTAGTTTGGTCAGAAATCACAAAAACTAAAATGTAATATGAAGTCTTGGCATGAAAATGTTAGTATTTAATCATAAGAACTCCATTTTCTTCAAATATATAAGATAATTCACATTTGCCTACATAAGAAAGAAATTTCCATTTCGACAAAGATGAAGCAAGCTCTAATGAAATAGAGGTACTTACAGAGCTTGCGCTTGTCGCCAACGAGAAAGGATTCTGTTTTTGCTTCTTTGGCAAGGGCAGCATTCACAAACCTTGCACCCAGCCTACAGTTCCTTTTCTTCTTCCAGGTTTTATTGTGTGTAAATGAAAGTTTATCTACAGAACCAACACCTTCTTTCAGGTTCAGGAAGACATTTCCTTGAAGCACTTTCTTTCCATTCCAATCACTGATGATTTTACTGTTAAATTCGTCAGAACTCCAATTCCATGCTTCATCATCATTACAATCTCCCTCGAGAACAACAATTTCAACTTTTGATGCAGCTGCAGCCCCAGTACTCACAATCTTCCCTGTCCCATCAACCAAAGCTACTATGAAGGGTTTATGGTCTTCTCCTTCAATATCCATTCCTGAAGAAACTGGTGTGGAAATTCCATTTAAGAACTGCAGTTGCAAAGCTTGTGATCCCGAAGTACTTGCCGTGTAATCGTAGTTCCTGATTAAATGTGATGTGTAAGCTATTAGATACTCTCCATCCACCCAAAGCAAAAAGAAGTATGCTTTGACTTTTAAGGTAAAATCAATTACTTCTTAATTTCAGAATTGATGTGGACCTGTCTATCTAACATCGACATTCTATCATCTTACAATTTTGTTGTGAATTTGAAGAAAGTTATCAATTCTTTTTCAACAATGTCAATGATTCTTATCACCAATTTAAGTTAGAAAGTTGATTTACTTGATTTTAAACATCCAAGCGTGTCTCTTTTTAAAGAGGGGGAGTTGGGGGTTGTAGTTATCAACAAAATTTACCACTTTATATGAATGTTAAATTTATTCCTTACTGTATAATGTTCTTCAAGGTATCCAAACCAAATTCCTCTATCATCAGGGGCAGAAACTTTTGTCGCTCCTCGTTGATCTGGGATACATGAAACAAAAATAAGCATTACCTATCGTACCCTTTATATGATAATCTGCAGCATTACTAGGTGTAACCGTATAAAACTCTACACCTCTGTAGATTAGTACCCATGGGGTCATCGTTATGTGAAAGAAGCTTACATAAAAAAATGACGCAGTAGGAAGTACGGAAGGATCGACAGGCGTCTAAACCCTTTTAACTTATGAGAATTACGAATGTAAAACCCAAGAAGAGACTCAGAGAATACTCTCAAAGAGATGATTTATTACTAATAAAAAATCTGAATAAAACATAAACTTGAAATGCTTATATAGGCTAAAAGCTAAAAGGAAATCTAGATATAATAGGAAACTAAATAATAGTTATCTGGACAAATAATTAAACTAATAAAAGGAAATTGATGTTGATTGATAAGAGAGATGGACGCGCTGAGTGGCGTGGGCGAGTAGCCGCGCGGCTTTAGCCACGTGGAAACCCGTGGGAAAACGAACAGTGGTTAGGCAGGTGGCCCTGCGAGTTTGGCCTCGTGAGCCTCTGTTTCCCTTTTCCCGAGTTCAGTGCCTGTCGAGACTTTCCAGGCGACTTGGGTCCCGGGAAGTCACGGAAATCTCTGTTTCAGAAAGAATCCTATACTGAACTTTCGAGGGAAACCAAATAAGCAGGCACATATGCTAAGATACAGTACAGATAAAATAAGCAGACATGAGTCTATTAAGGACAATGGTTGAATGACAAAATAATTGCAAGATAAACTAAAAATACCAATCGATGAACCCACAGTAATACTATAGACAACAGAAACGCCACAATGGAAGAAAGGAAGAGCATAAGACAAAGGCATGTGATTTTAGGTGGTAGGAAATAGCTACATATGGGAGACAGCAGTTGGTTTAACATACTTCAAATCAAGACCGTGAGAGAGAAAGCAAATGATCATTTCATTCACAAAATTAGAGATCTGAGCTCGATATTAAACTTGAGGTATTCTTACAAGACAAACCACTTATTCACAGGTTAAATCACTAAATTCGAGCTTAGATTTAGGCACATAAACTCAAAATAATCAATTAACAATGAAACTAATAATCACGATACTAGAATCACACATACAAGTAGAATAAACTATCGGAATCATAAAACGCTCACAAACATAAAAACGAGAGAGAGAGAGAGAGAGAGAGAGGGAATCGCATCTGCACGAAGCATGGGCCTTACAATTTCCTTGTATATGCAGATCGCTGGCTCCATTTCAACCCTATTAAAACAACGATGTGAAAAATAAACAATCCATGAACAAATTAGTCAGTCTCATGTAACTAATCTCAGAGTAATCGGTAAGCATAGAAAAGAACATTTACGATTAGGCAAACAAAACATAATTCTCTTACTCTTGTGAAGCATTAACACTAGAAATTTCATCAATTGAACTTCTACTTCCTCCTGATCCATGAATATCATCTTCAAACTGCTGATTAACTCCCACCATTTTCAATTTGCTCAAGCTGAGAGTGAGAATATGTGTATGTGTGTTGGTAAACTCCTCTTGCAGCCGCTTCGCTCTCAACTCGACTTTTAACGACGAAATCAGAAAGTGGCCCACCAAACCGCGTTGCGGACGCCATCACACCACACCAAGCTCAGAGAAAAGTGTTGTCAAAATGAGGTAAGAAGAAAGGTTTTAGGGTTCGTTAGAAACAGTTATGTGGAGGTTCTGAAAGCCGTTAAAGTTGAAGCACTTTCTCGATACAAGATACCTTCTTTCAAATAACCTTTTAACGGTTAACGTCGTCAATAACGTCTGGGCCCGGTTTATTTGGGCCTACTTGTCAGTTTCAATGTTTTTGTTCTTATCCGGTTTTTATTCCAGTGTGAATTTTAATTTTAGTGAGGTCAGGTACCGTTTAATAAAAATAAACTATCTTATTTTTAGATATATATTAAAAAATATATTATAAATTAATTTATTGAAATGTTATTTAAAATAACATTTTAATCGTTTATTATTAATTTTTTTAACTATAACACTTATTAATATTAATTATAAATAAATATTACTAATATTAATTATAAAATTAACTTTAATTTTACATTATACATAAATATATGGTTATTAACTAAAAAGAGAATACTTGCATTATACAGTGAGATAATCTTGATTTTCGTGTTTTGTTTTATTTTTATTTTTGTCTCGATCGATGTTATAATACGATTTTTATGTGGTTTTGATAAAACGATAATGTTTTTATTTTTGAATAAAATATAAATATATCATAAAAAATGAAGAAAGATATATTGTATTAGTACCAAACTAACTATTTAAAATTTCTTCTTTTTTGTGTCTTTCTTTGACTCATTTTTTATTTTTTATTTTAAAAATATAACTTTTTATGAAAATAGATTAGGTATTTTGTTATAACTCAATGATTATCCTAGTTATATATTAGATTTTTTATATTTAACATGAGATGTTTATTCTTTATTTGACTATGTTTATCTGCAATTAGTTAAACGAATTTAAACATAAAGCTTTAATAAGTTGTATTTACGTATAATTTACTTGCAATCTTGATTTTTAAGTATTATGCATCAATAAACAGTACTTCATGCATAAAAACAGTTTTTAAGAGTTTTTGTCAAATGTTTTATAATATAGTATAGATTATTTCAGTGATTATTAATCATATCAATTTTTTATTATTCAATATATTTAATTATTAGAATACAAATATAATGATTTTAACAATGTTTATGTAATATAAAGATTAAAATTATA